ACCCACTGAGCTGTTTCCCCACCCCTTATGTTACTTTTTCTGTACCATAATCTGAAGAAGTGTGTTATCAATGGGGGCAGCAATTCTAGGTCTTTTTTTGCTAGAGAACACATTTTTCTATTCTGCTTCTATTGGTCTGTGCTTTGTGCCCTGGAGCCACTGAGCCTAAAATAAATAAATAAATACCCAGCTTGCCACCTCCCAAAGGTAGAGTATACGCCTCAGTTCCTTCCCTGGTTGTCCTGAAACTTCATATGTAGAACAGGCTGGCCTTGAACTCACTGAGATCCAACTGTCTATGCTTCCTTAATGCTGGGATTAAATCGTGCACCACCATACTTGTCTAATTTTTACAAACATTCTTACAGTTAAATTCATGATCAAGAGAAAGGCATAAGGGTAGATATAAGTGATACGTATGTAGCACTCAGGAGGGCAAGGCAGGAGAATAGTTTGGTGCCAGCTGTATACAGAGTTTAAGGACAGTCTGATAGATGGAGCTTACACATTACAGTTGCCTGGTTTTCCTTTCAGTCTTCTAAGCTTCACATCTTGCTCACCTGCTCTGTCTCCCTCCCTGTTAATTTAATTTTGAAGCAAGTGGATCATTTGTCCACTGAGATTTTGGTACCAACGCCTTCTTTCTCTGTAGATGAGTGTGTTTGCCTGTCCTCAACATTTCCTGTGAATCGGTGATTGGATAGATGCAGTACTCTATTCTCTGATGCTTATAACCCATCTGTTTAATACTTTGCAATGGACTTCTTTTGAGAGTGGAGTGCCCCCCCCCCCCATACTTAGATTTGAAAATGTTGGAAATGGCAGGAAATGGGCAGAATGCTGTGAATGTATATGTGTGCCTTTCATGTTGATGGCCCGCTGGGCACTCTGCTGCATAGTTACCTTACTGAATTTAGGTGTAGTGTTTTCAGAGTCATTTGACAGTTATAGACATGCCATGACACTTAGATTTGCTCATATCTCTGAAACTGTGCTTGTTGGCCATAGCCCAACATAAACATAGTATATTCACTTAAGTTGATATCTGGCTTATATATTACTTGGTACTTAGTGCACATTCCCCAATTTTCCCAGAAAAATCCTTTATTCTGACTCAAGAATTAGGGTGCTAGATAAATGCCTCACAGTTAGGAGCACTTGCAGAGGGCTCAGGTTTGGTACTCAGTAGTAATGTGCTGGCTCACAACTTTCTGTAACTCTAGTTGCAGGGCACCCAGCACCCTCTTCCAGCCTCAAAACACTAGGCACACACATGTTGCATGCACATAATACATTCAGGCAAACACTTATACACATAAATCAATCAATCTTTTTTTAAAACCACTAATCTAACCAAGGATCATGAGTTTCCATGTATTCTCCATCACATACGACTGACATTCTTTGAAGAGACCATGGAAGTTGTTTAATAAAGAATTCTTCAATTTAAGTTTGCCTAATTGTTTTCCTTACTGGTAGATTCACCAAGAATGACGTGGCAGTGCCATGCACTTCCTGGAAACACTTGGAGGCACTTGGTCTTAGTCTCATATTGGTTACAGAAGTATCCGCCAGATTTTCCTTTGTACCTTTTCCCATTGTGACTAGTAACAATGTAGCATTATAGTGGTGTTCTTTTAAGTACTTTCAAGAAGAAATTGGGTGGAAGAGTGCTGAACACATCACTAAATGTGTTGCTCCTGATGGAAAGATAGTTTTGAATCATCTGTTTTTGTGAGAGAGGAGTGGAAGGAGATGTGAATTTGATCACTGGGCTCTAGGGACACAGACTTTTAGTAATCCAGCAGACTTGTAGTAATCCAGATCTCCGCTTGAACATGTGCAAGTTTAGAGAATTTACCTAACTACTCAGACCCTCAGGTTCCTCAGTAAAATAGGGATAATACCACATACCTTGCCTAGTGAAGGTGAGTAACTGAGGTAGTATGGGAGGAGCAGTTTCCCTGCTGCCTGGGTATCATTGCTTGGCCAAGGCAGAAACAAGGCAGGAGAGGGGCTTACAGAACAGAGTCAGCTAATTACTTATCATCACCCCTCCCCAACTGTTGTTCTTAGGTTTAACATTAGTTTAGCAGAGCCAGACATTATAGAAAATTTGACCAACAGGTTAGATGCCTTTATGAGATTATTTTTTTGCTTTTTCCTTTCAGATATTTATTTATTATTGCATTGTTTATGCACACTAGAGGTCAAAGGACTCCTTTTTGAGTCAGTTTCTCTTTCAGTCTGTTTGTGAGTGTTCCCAGGACTACTGAACACAGGTCATTATGCTGTGTATCCACTTTTTCCCTCCAAGATGGCTACATTGCTTACACTCGCGCGCACGCACACACACACACACACACACACACACACACACTAGTATCAAAGAAAGGAATTAGGAATTTCCAAATAAGGTTGGGTGTTTTGGATTTGGTTTTTATTTTCTTTTAAGGGGACTATTGAGTGTGTTTTACTGTGTAGCCTTGAAACTCATACTAGCTTTGAAGTCATTTCAGACTTTCTGCCTCTGATTACTAAGTGGTAGGATTCCAGGTGTATGCCGCCATGATCACCTTGGGCTTCTGTTTTCAAAGTTCTTAAATACCACTTGTCTTTAATAGATTTGTGTGGAATCAAATTGCCATTTAACCAGACCTCATTCTGATTGGAATCCATTTTACTTTAAGAGATTATTTTTTTTTTTAAAAAAAACAGTTTATATGTCATCTGAACATAGTGAGTCAAAATAATTCTGTGACCCATTTACATGCATTACTGTACAAGTTTCATTTCATACAAGTGACAATTTTTTAAAGTTAATTAGACTCGGCTACACTGAGGTTAGCAAAAAGTGCTTTGAATTATCAATAATTCAGCAGGGCAGACATTTCTGTATAATGCAGTGGTTTTATAGAGTATTGTGAGATAGTTATCCTTAAAATAAATGGTTGTGCGCATACATCAGCATGGTGGGGTTCACTTGAATGTGGCATGAAGTGATAGCATCTCTGCTTCTGTTATTGGGCAGAGTGCGGGACATCAGTCTTTCTGGCCATGAACTACTAGCAACCTTTGTCCTTTGTGTTACCTTTGGTTAAAAACGGAAAAGGAGCCTGAATGCTGGCTGATGGCCATGTCTCCTGTCAGCTAAAAATCCATCTGGGAAGGAAAAATGGAGCTGCAGATTTGGATTTATTTCATTGCGTGAATGATATGTGACATTTTGTAAATTATTTATCACTGAAAGGGCGGCGGCAGAGGCTTGAACATTGTTCTATCAAATGAAAGCGAGGATCCCATTAGTACAAGGACTGTGCTTTAGCCAGAATCTATCAGAGGAACGTGTCGCTTTAAAACCAGATTGTTCTTTTAATTGCTATTTAAAGGAACAAAAGTGTTCCCAAGGTACCGCAGCCGAGCAGTCGCAAGTAATAAGTATGGATCCATAATTACGCAGCGCTGACGATCTGTCGTTTCAGAAACTGTGGCTGGAGTCACTGACCAATTTATTGTAGCTTGTCCTCTTTTCTTTTCTTGGTTTTTCTGGTACAGAATATTTCACACTGAGCTTTTTAACAGAGCTACAAGAATACATTTGTAAAGCTACCTCAGAAAGTAAAGCGTGTACATATTAATAGAACAAATTAAGCTGAAAATAAGGGCAGGATAATGAACACTCATATTGTGAGATGAAAGTCTCAGTCATATTAACAAGTTTGTGAATGCTAGGTCCTAAGATGAATTCTTGACTCTCATGGCATGTTGTTAGAGGGAACCAAGACATTTGTTGAATCATTATAACCATCCAAAATATTATCTTAAAGAAGTGGTTGATTTTTCTTTTCAATTGGCAGTTGCTTCTTTATTTATTCAACCAGTAAACATATTTTGAGAGCCTACTGTGAACCAGGCTATGTATTAGGCATTTGGGATTGAATAGTTGCCCAAATGAGGTTTATTCTGTGCTGCTGTAGACTTAGAGAATTAGATCTAACACGATCTTGTTTGTGATTTACATATAAAAACATTTGTGATTGCGTTGAGTTTTCTTGCCCTGAATTTTTGACTCATGACATTCTGTATAAAGGCTTCAGAGAACTAGCAGACAACATGTGTGAAGGCTTGGAATGTGCAATAAAATTGTAGTTTTTATACAGTTTTGGCTGCTCAAGATAATGTAGATCTGTAGGCACAGTGAACTGCATTCATGTGGATGGAAATGTCTGCTGTGCTGGCAGTAGTAATCAGCAGAGGAGACACAGAATGTATGTAGATTTACACATTGTTAAAAGCAATTGCCATGGAGAGTTAAAGGGTGCCAGGGGGTAGACAAATGTTTTGTTGTTTCTTTTATAAAGTGTGAATGTCAGAGATGGAGGGTTTATCTCCTCTGTGTGCCCTGGTTTCCCTTTGAAGCCCTTGGTGCCAGAGAGGCCTTGTTAATAGTCTTTTGATCTTCTCAAGTCCGACAGAATTTTAGTTCCTGCTTGTTCTCTGTTCATGGGCCGTCTGAAGCATACATTTCATGTCCGGTATTTAATAGGTGAATAATCACAACACTTGATAAAGCTGAGTTAAATAATCTCACTAATTAACCAGATGATATCCATGGTCTTTATTGCTGAGTAGATGAATCAGTTTATTGTACATAGAGATTATGGGAACACTTGGGATCACAGATGAATCCTTAATGTTCCTTCTGAAGGCTCTGTGATATTTAAAGGTCTTAGGTTTCACTAAATTCATAAAAGTTACTTCTGGAGCTAATGATTACATTTAAATGTATTCAGATACTGCTTTGCTACCACATAATTTATGGTGATTTTTATTAGAAAATGTTGATTTTTTTGAATGCTTAATTCATCAGGGTTTCCTTAAGAAATATGTAAGAAGCTTTGAATTTAATAATTTGTTTTAGATTTTGAAAGAAAGCTAACAATACATTTTTATTTTTGTTTTTTGTGTTTTTGTTTTTTTTTTTTTTCTCTTTCTCATAGCCCCGTGCCGATCCCATTCCAATATGTAGCTTCTGTTTGGGGACTAAAGAGTCAAATCGTGAAAAGAAACCAGAAGAGCTCCTATCTTGTGCAGATTGTGGCAGTAGTGGTGAGTTCCGTTTGTGTGTTTTCTACATTGGCATCCACTGTCAGAGCTTCATGCTCCTGATCTCTATCCAAACCTCACAGGATTTGTTGTTTAAAGAAATCATTTGGTGATAGAATAGATTTGAAATGTAAGAACATTATACAGGTCAAGGGTGAAATATGAATGAATCGATACCAACCTATGTTACATGTTTATATAATTCTGTTCAGTAGTATTTGTAACCAAGCTCTGTTTCTTATCTATGTGGCTAATTCAGCGTGGAGACTGCAGTACAGTAAGTAAATTCACAGTAGAGATTTTGTTTGTTTGACTGTTTCTTGAGCTATCTCTCCGTGTAGCCCAGGCTGACCTCAAACTCCTCTTACTTGCCTCATGCTGAGCCTTTTGAAATGCTCAGTTTGTTGCCCCAACCAAACTCTTCAATCCTGAGCTCAGTCTCCTGCCTCACCTTCCCAAATCCAACCATTGCCACACCTAGCACGACAGTGGCCCTTCTGTTCTCCCCAGTCCCAGAGAGACTCCTGTGTTGTTTCAGGTTATGACACCTACTGGTGAAATGTAGTAATTCCATCCAGCTCTGTGTCAACTCAAGGAAAGGGACGACCATAAGGGCCAGTTACAGTGCCCCAAGTGCTCCCAAGGAGGGTGTGTCTTCTCTGTCTTTACCATATGACTTTAAGATTATACCTCCAGTGTTATTCAGAAATATAAAGGTAAATTGTGTTTATGTTTTTAAAGAGTTTTTTTTTGTTATTCTTTTTGATTCAGTACATAAACTTCATCCAGGGTATATGTACATACACACACTTTCCTGCACGTGAAATGGTAATACTAGGTCTCCCCTATGCATACTTTTTTGTTATTGGTTCTTTATTTTTTTTCATTTTTTTCTGGAGATCAAACTGAAGGCCTTATCCATGCTAAGCAAACACTACTGCTGAATTACACCCCCAGCCCAAGGTTTTAAAAGTTAATCTTTCTGAGTTGGTCTTCTGTTTTTCTCCTGGATACTGAAGTATTTTTTCCCTCAAAATGTTAGTTTAAAACAGCTGGAGTTTTATTTCTGTGGTATAGCACTTGCCTAAGACCCTAGGTTCAATCCCAGCACCAAGAGCAAACAGAAGGAAGGAAAACATCTCTGCAGAACCTACAGCATGCTCTTGTACAGAGACAGCAACAGCCCAGACCCTTGACTTCCAGTTAGTCACCTGATCATTCTACAAGGCGTTGTCCTCATTAGTAATAATGGCGCTTACCTCTAGACTTCAAGGAACTATACAGCCCAGTTCATTGTCTGCATAGGCTATCCTGAGAGTACCGGAAGTGATACCCATTCTTACGATTCCCCACACCTCATACTGTCGCTCTTGATTGCTGTGAGTAATTTAAAATTTTGTCACCACGTAGGACAGCTGCTTGATGGTTGGATAGAGGAAACATTCCGTACTGAAGAATGATCGTGTTCTAAAATAATTCTTAGTCAGTTATTCAGAGGTTCAACATGATAGGCCATTTGTGGGTCTGCAGCCTCCAGGACCTGACTAGGTGAAAAGAGCCTTCAAAATAAGACATTTCAAGCACTACCTGAAAAATATATTCTGACTATCTTTTTAATGGGCTTTACGGATTCCTTAGCATTTTCTAACTTGGCCGTGGTCTCCTGGCTAGCAACAGAAGAACACAAAGACATTGTGTGTTCAAGTTAATATTTTTCAACCTATGGTCCCCTGCTCCACTGGGCAGGCAGCGCCTCGCTCATCAGTCTGACTCTACTTATCTTGTAGGTCTTCTCACAAGGCTCATTTCAAATGAATTATTTTTTTTGTGTGTCACTGCCTGATCAGTTCTGTGGTGACCACATATCTGATATTTATCTTTGAATTTTAAACTGTATGTTAAAAATGCCCTCTATTGTAGCCGGGCAGTGATGGCGCACACCTTTAATCCCAGTGCTTGGGAGGCAGAGGCAGGTGGATTTCTGAGTTCGAGGCCGGCCTGGTCTACAGAGTGAGTTCCAGGACAGCCATGGCTACACAGAGAAACCCTGTCTCGAAAAAACAAACAAACAAACAAAACCAAAAATGCCTTCTGTCTATCATCTCATTTTAGTATCTGTTCATCTGAGCACCTAGACAGTACTGAATTTCGGGAAGAAAAATTCTCTTCATGTATTCCTCACTGCTGATGACACACTCCGCCCTGCCAAGTTGCTAAGAATCTAGGATTTTATCATAACTTCAAGGCCTTCTTTACAGGGCATCAAGGTGTAATTCTACCCAGGTAGATTTTCTGATAACACCAAACTCCCCTAGTTTTCCCAGGTTGAAGACCCAGCAAAGGGAGATCTGACTCCCTCTGCACAAAAGGGGCTGAAATGTCTCTTCTCTGAAGCTTCCTACTTCTCCATTCTTAGTTCCCAGGGCTGGGCTAGGGCTGATAGGTGCACTGGGTCCTTTCTGCCCTCAAAAGTACCCTTTCTTTTCTAGCAAATAGAGAAGGGGTGAGGTTCTCTGTCCCTGGATCAGGTCTACCTCTGTTACTGGCAGAAATCCAAGCCTTGGGGCATAATGTGTCTCTAGATCACAGAGGGTGCCTGAAGGTGCTTCTCTGGGCTCTAAAGTAGAGCAGTGCTGTGGCCACTCCTTAACCGTGAGTCTATCAGCTTGGATTTGATTACTTCAGGGGCTGGGAGAAGATACGAACTGTGGAATACTATGTAGACAAGCACACCCTTTGGTCAATTAGAAAAAAAACTATATTCTTTTTTTCTCTTAAAAATGAAACATCAAGGAGCTGACGAGATGACTTAGAGGTTAAAGGTACTGACCACTTTCCAGAGAACCTGGGTTCAATTCCTAAGACCAACATGGCAGTTCACAACTGTCTGTTACTCCAGTTTCAGGGTATCTTACACCTTCACACAGTCACTTCAGGCAAAACACCAGTGCACACAAAATAAAAATAAATTATATTTTTAAAAAATGAAGCATCAAAGTAAAATGTGTTTCATCTTAGGAGGCATTGGGGTACATGTGGTCTCAGCTTTTTATTTTTTTAACACCTTGGAATTTATGAGGAAGACCATGATGGACCACATGCTTCTGCAGTGCCCTGTCAGGGTGGGAGCTATGCTGGCACAGTCCAGTCCTGCAGCTCCAATGAGACTAAAGGTTGGTCCTCCAGGTGACCTTATAGAGACTGCTGCCTTCCCATACGCAGAAGGACCCATTGGTTCCAGGATGGAATTGGGACTGTTTGTAAGGATCAAAGGGATTCTGAACATAAGATAGTTTTGTTAAAAAAGAAAAATGTCTATGAGTAATATACAACCAGAAGAAGGAAGTCCAGATGGAGCCATAAGGAAGATGATGATTATTCAATGTGCTTCCCATATGTGCTCAACACTCTTAGTCACCTCTCTGAAGCCCCATTTTGTGATGACGATTGTGCTGCGCTGAGCTTTCACAGACATGAGTGTAACTGTTTCCTTCTGCTTCCACCATGAAGTGAGATCACTGACTGGGCTCTCCTCTCCTTTTAAGATGACTGTATAACAAATGGTCAGGAAAAAAAAAAAACTGCTCAAGGCCATGTGCAGTAAAAATGTGAAGTACATAAAGCTGCCCCAAATGTAGTGTCCCCAACCCTGTGCCCCAGGTCCCTTCTTTCTGGCTCCAACTGAAATTTTATTATTCTGTACAATGTAAAGAATAGTAACTCTGTCCCCAAAACCCACAGGACTGGCATGAGGGTAGTAAAACAATCCTGTGAGAATAGTCGACCATGTGACATATGTCCGGAGATTGTTCTAGCCACTCATAAATCTGGGAACTGTGAGACAGTCCTCAGGTCTGAGGAAATACCGAGACTGGGGAGTGATTTTACTTGACTTTCATGGATCAGCCTACTTTGAAATTAACACTGTTATATTCTCCTTGCCTCATTAAGGCCAAATTATCTTTAATTAGCTTCACATAAGTATTAGATATTATACCAAATGAAATTTTGTGTCTGCTGCTCAGATTGCCGGGTGGTTAAATCTTACTTACAGATGAGTTGTGTGCATGTGTGTTTTCAAATTAGCAAATCTAAGATAAGTGTACAGTTCAAAATTACAGCATCGTTCTAAGTGGAAGCTCGTTGACACAGGAGGCAGGAGAGAGGCTGCTGTGGAGCAGCTGGGAGACGCAGACCCCTACGCAGAGCATGAGCAGGATCTGTGGGCAGAGTGGCACCCACCTTCGGCTCATCTCATCTCTACCCCAGTGTCAGTCCTGAGAAACGTGTGCTGAGGGAGCTGGCACGGAAAGCTGCAGCCTTTGGCTGTACGTTTTTAGGTTCTGGGTTTTGTTTGGTTTGGGTTTTTTTTTGGGGGGGGGACTTTTTTATCACTGGTTTCTTAGGGTTGTTATGTATAAATGCCTCAGGGAGCAGTTGGTTAGTCGTCTAGTTTCACAGTGACTAGACACAGATTGGATCATTGGGTTGGAAAGCAGAGTCCTTGACTAGACGGAATTCCAAGAGGAATACATAGAAAGACAAGGAATGAGAGCCCCACCTCAAAGGAGGAGTAAATAGGAAGGAAGGGGAGCCCCGCCCGCACCCCAAGAAGCCACTGAGTCATCACAGTGAAATGCAAGTCTGTTTTGGACCATAGTCTGGAAGATTTTAGTCTGTGGTCAGCTAGCTCCAGGCCTGAGGTGAGGCTGAACATCACAACATCAGAAGCCTGTTTACTTGGTGATGGCGTCAAGAACAATGCACGGTGTGGCCCCTGGGCTTGGAGGGTAGAGAAGGGTCTCCATTTGTGTGTGTCTGTGTGTGTGTGTGTGTGTGTGTGTGTTTTATTTTTTCAAGACAGGTTCTCTCTGTAACCCAAGCTGTCCTAGAACTTGATCTGTCTGTAGACCAGGTTGACCTTGAACTCAGAGATCCTCTTGTCTCTGCCTCTTGAGTGCTGAGATTAAAGGCTCATGCCACCACTGCCTAGTTGAGAAGGGCCTCCTTAACCAAAGTGGGAGTGGGGAGTCCATGAGATGGATCCAGGAGGGCAGGCTGAGGAAGGTGGAGATGTACTAACTCTATGGACTTAGGGGGAACCAGTCCGTATCAGTGCACAGCACAGAGGATTGTGATTTGGGATAGAGTTAACAGGAGTCCAATTTGGATGGGTTTTGCAACCTGTATGAGAGAATTTACATTCTTTTCCTAAGTCAGTTTGGTAGCCACAGAAAAATTAGGTCATCAGATTTAAAACTTACAAAGGTAACTTAGGCTGCCATAGATAAATTGATTGAGAAGTTAGATCAAGATGAGCTTTAGGTTATTATAACAGGAAATCTCTGTGTGTGTGTGTGTGTGTGTGTGTGTGTGTGTGTGTGTGTGTGTGTGT